TTACTATTAAACAATATTTATTCTCTATAAAAATTTTATTTTTGCAATATTCTTTTATTATATAGTTAAATTTTACTTCAATTATTTCAAAATTTATATTTGAATTCTGAAAAGAAGGAAAAAAATATTAAAAGATGTGAAAATTTTAATAATTTGTTTCTACTATTTATAATTAAGATTGACATCATTATGAAGTAAAGATATTCAAATGCAGAAAAGTTTTGTTTAATACTTGACTTTATACAAAATAATATTTTATATATAGTTTTGAATCAATTACTAATTAAATCTCTTTATTTAAGTACTCCAGATAAAGAATTTATTTTAGAAGCAAAAGATAGAAATACTTGTTTGTTTTGGTTGCAAGAGTTACAAAGATGGAGACGAACATTTAGTTTGAAACGGACACAACAAATTGATACAAAAAGTATTGAACAGAAGAATGTAATAACAGTATGTATGATTTAATTTCTAAAGATTTTAAGATTAAAAAAAATTATTAAAATTCTATACAGTACTTAGGTACATGTTATATATGTTACCGGCCAAACCCAATTTCAGGCCAACTAGTTTATCCTATGCATGTCAGGATATACTAGTTTAGCCTAGGACAGTCTAATTTGGCCTAAATACTTTAGGTTTAACTAGTTTGTCCTAGGCCGAACTGATTTAGAATTATTATTTAAGTCAGACCTGGCCAACCGAAATTGTTTCACGGGCCACTTTGATCACGCGTAACATTACAATGGGCCACAATTTAGGCAAACATACTTTTAAAAAAGTAAAACAAATACAAAATGAATAAGATTTCATTGTTATACCAAGAGTTTGTACTCTCACTTGCGCATTATAACAATGACACATGCAAATTTTCATTTATTTAATTGTTTTGGTATACACAAAACGGAAAACGAAAGTTTTAATAGATATATAATATCGCTTAGCAGGCCACACAATTTAGTGTGACGGGTCGCGGGTTGGCCAGGCCTGATTTAAGTATATTAATGGTTAAAATAAAATTAAAAGGCAATCAATTAGATGAACAATATTTATTCAAACATAGTCTACTTAATTATAAAAAAC